AGGCAATGGGTGACACGAGTGTTGAACTCAACACTGCTCACATTATTGCAAGCTTTCAGACACAACCCAACTCAGCTCGCACTTGGCCTTTTCTTCTCCTGCATTTGCTTCATCTTCCTATTCCAAACTGGATCACTCACTGATGGCCACCTTCTTGCAGCACATGTGGGCACAAGCTGAAATTCTCCAGCTTAGCCTGGGGTTGTGGCCACCCATGGCATAAGGAACCTCACACAGGGGACAGACAGGTTAGCCTCCACGTTCCTGCAATCCAGAGCTTCTCCAGCCAAGCAATGTCTTTCAGGCAGATCCCACCAGCCTTGGTGGCTGCAAGGCTGGAAGACATGCTGAGCTAGTCACTGTGTAGGATGCACACGCTTGGCTTTGGTTTGGTGATCCCTCGGCTCCACCCTCTTGAATCATTAGCGTCCAGAGTCCTCTCTCCTCCAAGCCTGTCTCAATTTCTTATAAGTAAATGTGAGTTACCTTACAAAGGCAAATCTGGCTAATGAATCAGATCACACATTTTCTACTTCAGCGAACATTTTAATTATTGCCGAGATAACACAGCTTGAAGAGGAGAGCATCCCAGTACAGGAGAGAACCTTGCTTTGTCTCAATACCTGATGACTAATTTCTCCCTGAATTAAATGTGAAAATCATTAAGTTTGAAAATTACCTTGCTGAAGTGTAGTGAAACCTCAATAGACCCCTATTTGCATTTTGAAAATCCAACCCCCACATCCCCTAACATGTCCCAGGGTCTGGCAGATGACATTTCTCTGGTGTTTGCTTCTGCTTTCTCTTAGGGTTTTTCTGCATTGGCTCAGCAAGAGAATGCATAGCTCTTTGTCAAGGCTCTGCTTGGGTACCCTTGGTCTTTTCTTGAGGAGAGGGGAAAAAAAAGTGTTATAATTGGGTTTGATCTAACCTTTTCGGAAGGAGCCACTCCACAGTTTCTGGTCTCTTTATACTACAAATGTTTTCCCGTGCTGTATAAAATTCTTGCTTCCTGAGGATTTGCTGAACACAATGAAGTTGCAAGAGCCATAGTAATTTTTAGTAGAACAGGAAAAAAAAAAAGAGAAAAAGTACTGTGTGGGAGGAACTGGGGTGGGGGGATTCAGACATGGATAAATTTCAGAAGCCACCTGCTGCCTTCTTCATTTCTTTGGTGGCCACCTACAGAATTTCCTGTTCTTGGCAGGAAAAAAATAGAAAATGCAAAGGTGGACTTGGCAGTGCTGAGTTTGAAAAGCCATACTTAAGGTATTAATGCCTGTTGTGCCCCTGGAGTTCAGTTTGTTCAAGATTAATGGGTTCCTCGAGATGTAGCTTTGTGCCAATTCAAATCCAAAGACACAAAGGTCTACCTCTAACTTTATCCACCAAATAATAGCGATGACAGCCTGCCTTTTGCAGGAGGGAGTTAAAGATCATGGACATTTATTTCTGAAGTTGGCAAGGCTGGTACCCAACCATCATGCATTACCAAGGTCGAAATCCATCTTCTGTGCTTGGGGTGGACAGCTAAAATTTTGTAGAGTTATTGCACCATCTCACACAAGAGAGGAGCCCCTTTGTGACTGCCTTGCCTGGCAGTGCTGGGCTACAAGTCACATCACTTCATCACCTAAAGGGGCTACAGAAGAGCTGGAGAGGGACTTTTTACAAGGACATGGAATGACAGGACAAGAAGTAATGGCTTTAAACTGAAAGAGGGAGGGATTAGAATAGATATAAAGAAGAAATTCTTTACTGTGAGGATGGTGAGACAATCGAACAGGTTGCCCAGAGAAGCTGTGGATGCCCTGAAGGGTTCAAGGCCAGGTGGGATGGGGCTTTGAGCAACCTGGTCTAGTGGAAGGTGTCCTGGCCCATGGGGGAGGGGGTGGAACGAGATGATCTTTAATGTCTCTTCCAGCCTAAAACATTCTGTCATTCTATGATCATTGCTCCTCCTCTCCGTGAGTTTTCTGGGACAGATCCTGTCCCCCACTACATGTTTGACCATTGCCTACCCCAACAACAACTGCCTACCTGTACCAGCAGGCAGGCAGAACACAAATCCCAGTGCAAAGTGTGCACAGACAACTCAGGTGTTGCCTGGCAGCCTCCACCATCTCCTCAGCCAGGGCCAGCTCATTCCCTTTCATCTTCTAAGGGAAATGACAGGAGGCTCCCCATAGAAATGAATATCCTTTCATCTTGCTACTGCCATCCGTTAAGATCAATCATTTGACACCTGCTGCTGCCTTATCTGTCTCAGTTATTGGGGTGAAATACCTCTGGGAACAAGATTAAAAGTCAGCAGTGAAGTTTAAAAATCTCTCAAAAGACTAGAGTGACATGCTTTCAACTGCCTGGCATATGGTGCTGGGTGTGGAGGGGGAATGGAAAATGTCTGATGGGGGACAGTGAAGCCCTGGAGAACACAAGAGCTAAGAATGGTGCTGCTTCATTGGAGCTGATCCCAGCAGAAGTCATGATAATGGTTACCCTGCACCTTGCTGGCCCAAAGGTTAGCTGAACATTTTGGAACAGCACTTCAGAGCTATAAATCCCAGTTTGACGTCCACTTGTCAAATGGGAAAAGGGAAAGGTCTTTTGGAGTCAAGAGAGTCTCAAAAATCTACTTGGAGAACCCACGAGTTATACTAGACATGGCACAGACTCACCCTCCCACTCTCAGAAGGACCAGCTCGTTTAACGCCCTTATCCTAATGCACCTGATACGCTCTAGAAACGATGGCAAAAAAGCAATTCTCACTGCCATGGCAAGATAAACTGAGAAGAACATGACACCTCTTTTCACTGCTGAAGTATTTTAAACCCAGCTCTCCAGAGTATCCATGTGCAACATTGGTCATAGGTTTATCCACAGGCTGGAAGGGACCCAGGCAGATGTCCCAAAGCTCACCAATGGCCCTGCCAATTGCTTGACTTCCCACCTTTAACACCCAAGCAACACTCGTGCCAAGGCACAAAGCACCCTCCCTGTCTCCTGCCACGGGGTTGCTTTGGGTGACAGACCATGAGCTTGACAAACACACACACTTATGTACACCAAGTAGCTTTGATTTGTCACTACACATCGGGGAGTACCAGGGATAATTGGCAACCTCATTACATGAGGTTTAACTACTCTCCAGAAACGACAAACTATAATCATCACGTTGGTGCTTGAAATGAATTGTTTGGAACATTACAATCACCAAGGCCCCTGTTTCCGGCTGGAGCACCCTACAGAGACGTGTTTTCAATTTGCAGTAAAGATGAGGAACACAGGAAGCAAAGTGATAAATTAGAGGGAGGTTTACAGCCCAGTCCACCTAGGACAGTTTGGTGAGGGAAAGACAAAATGTAGTGTTGAGCCAAAATACTACTTTCTACTAGCAATGTAGGCAGCAAGCCTCAGACTGGAATGAAAAACAAAAGGCAAAATCTCCACCTGGCCTGAGGAAAAATGGGTAAAGAAAATAGCACAGGCAGGAAGAAGAAAATACTTTCTGGAAAGAGAAGATGGAGTAAGGCAAGAGGCACTGAAGATGTCTCAGGTTGGTTTAATATGCTGAAGTCCATGTGGCCTTGGCAAAACTATTATCATGAAGGATATGAAGGAAAAGGATGACACCTATATGAAAAAGCCTTGTTGACAAGATGCAAGCTTGAAGCAAGCAGCAATCTTCTCAAGCATGGAAAGCAGGTCCTTCTAGTCCATCATCTTGCATCCAGCAACCACCTTTGCTTGACTTCAGAGGGGGACATAAACCTCCCTCACCTGTGACACAGAGGTCATAGCAAGGCACAATACCTTTTCAGAGAAATGCTCTGCCTGACTTCAGCTGCTGCTCAGCTTTAGCCCCGAGGTGTGCAGGCTGAAGGCCTTTCTGAATTAATCAAAGCTGCTGACAACAAGGATCCTGACTTGAAAGCAGCCAAGAAGAACCTGCCAGCAATGCCTGAACGCTCATGAAATACAAGCCAAAGGAAACTTGAAGACTGATGGGACCTGATGTGTTTTATGATCACCTGCCATGAACTCCCACCAAGGACTACAGGCTCTCCGTGGCCCAGGCCCTCTCTGCACAGCTGGGAGCTTCTGGCACAGCACTGTGTGCCTGCTCCCAAAGAGCACTTTTTGGGAGAGAAATCCCAGATTCAGAGCAGCTCCCTTCCTAGGTATTCAGCAGATTGGTACACAGAGCAGGAAGGAACTGAGCAGAAGACAAGACAGCTGTCAGCTGTACATCCCCGCTCTCCTACACTCTTGAAAATGAAGCTGGAGAGAAACCAAAATGTTTCCAAATCTAGGGAATTTGCAGTTTTGAAATTCACTTAATTCCACAGTGAGTTTTCTTTTAATTCTTTGCAAATGAGCTTCTCTCTCCAAACCTGAAGGATTCCATATCAATTTCAATCCTTTTAGGGTTTTAATCTCTCTCGCTAGACAGACAGGCAGTATGTAATGAATTTCTGGTTTAAATCATGGCAAAACAAAATGCATTTAGAGCAGAATGTTGCAAGGGTGTTAAAGATCAAACCAAAGAAGCATCCTGAAATCAAATTCCATCCGAACTGACCGCTCAATTCAGTACATGTGACATTTCTGTACGAAAAAAAGGATTTTTACAAAGTATTTCCGTGCACGTTCTAGAGCAGGTGGTGGGTTAGAGGCAGCATGTTAAGAGCGAGTGAGAGGGCAGGTGCCAGGCAGACACAAGCAGAGGGCACAGGTGCCTGGACACAGCTGAGAATTGTCTCTAGTCCTGAATGGCAGAGAGGTCCCCAAAGCAGACAAGAGGTAAGAAAGCAAAGCTGTGGTCCTCAGGATAGCAAGGACTGCCATAGCCTGAAATGCTTTCACAGACCACAGGGAGAGTGCAGGGCTGGAACAACCCTGCCAGGCTGCCAGGCAAGAGCAAAGAGCAATGGCAGCATTTATCCATCCTTTCCCTGCTATTAATCCTTCACTTCCCTGTGTTCCCAAATGGATTTGCTTTGCTTAACTGAAATACTAATCAGGCAAAGCGGTGCAGCACTCACATGTCTGGTTAGCAATGGGAAGCAGCTCCCAGGACTGTCCCAAAGCTTTCCTGCCTAAGCTGCTGTGCCCCTGTGCAGAGCTGCCATGGCAGCCCCCTGCTGCTCCACTGCCTTTGACTGCCTCTTCACCTTGTGCCTTTCAAAGGCACCACATTCGTTTCAAGTCTGAAGTTCCTCTTAAGGATGCTTCTTTTCCTGGCATGAAAATGCCCTGCAGGAAGAGATGCCATGGGCTGCCAAAAGCTGGGCCCTCCCTCCTGTTTAGACCTCGACAGAGATGTAAAAGATCGATACTTTGAGCAGGTTCCTTTTATATTAGTCCTAGCTTTTTTGTGTGGTAAGGCTAGATAAGCCAAGGAATCTTAGCCAGCCTTGCATCTCACTGGCTTCCAGCAGATCTTGCAGTGTCTCGAGCATCCTCCCACGTGCCAGCCGTGCCATGTCACTAGCTGACAGCCATGACCTGCTCAGGCAATGTCCCCAGCTCACCCTGCCCTGCTTCCTCTCCTACCATGTCCTCTCTCTTGCTGCAGTCACTGCAAAGTTTGTAAAATATAAAAAATAATAAACCTCCTTTAAGAGTCAAAAAAAGGAGACTCAGTTCAGCCTCTAAGGAGGCTCTCAGTCCAGAGAAGCAGTTCTTCCTCCCCACATTTGCACAAGAGATGGAAAATCCATGCCTTCATACAGATGTGGATTTACAGCTGGCACACATCTGTCCAGAACAAGCTGCAGAGACCATACTTGCTAAAAATGAGTCAGAGTTATGACCATACAAACCCAATGAACATCTCCATCCCCAACTCGACATACAGGTAAATCCTTGGCTGTTGCCCAGAGAAGCTGTGGCTGCCCCATCCCTGGCAGTGTTCAAGGCCAGGCCGGATGGGGCTTTGAGCAACCTGGTCTAGGGAAAGGTATCCCTGCCCATGGGCAGGGGGTTGAAACTAGATGATCTTTAAGGTCCCTTCCAACCCAAACCATTCTATAAGTCTGTTCAGCTTCACAAATTCATGCAAAGCTCAAGGCCCATAATAGGACAGAGACTATACATGCACATATATATCTTTAACCTGAGTATAATTAAGAGTCCTTTTTATCCTAGAAAAAAAGGCCTAAACAGTCTAAATTTCCCCAATGGAAAATTTGTGCAATTGACAAACAGATTAAGGATACCAGGTCCTGCCACACAGGAATGCATATAGATATTTCAGCTGCTGGCAAAATAATGTATATCCACAGCAAGATTCAATCATCACCTGAAACACTGCTCATCAGGCATGATGAGGTGTGTTTGCCTTCCCTTGTGAAACGTGTCTGAACATCTCCTGGCAGGCACTTAGCAAACACGACTCCTGACCACATACTGACTGTGACAATAGTGGCAAGGGACTTGAAAGGAGATGTCAGCTACCAACACCGTGTTGTCTGTGACAGTCTCAAAGGCATAACTAAAAAGGTCGTTCCTTGTCTTATTTGATGTGATGCAAACTGTATTTCGAAGTCCATCTACAAAAAGACTTCTGGAATACTGACTGATCCAAAATGGGGTTACCTGCAATGAGAAGGCTATCGTGGAAGACTGTGGTGCCTCCTGATGTAATCAATACTTGAACCATATGGATGTGGCAGTTTAATTTCTCTACTTCAATGAGCAACAGATGCTCAGTCAACCCCCCATGGCCTCCCTGTGTGCAAGATGCTCAGCACCATCCTCAGGCTGAACTGCTGCCCCTCCATGCAGCAGGGATATGCCATATTCTTTCATTTTTCTTTATGAAAACCTGCAAAACTTTCCACTGCCCACTCCAAAAACTCACTTGCCAGATGCAGACACTCTGATGAGTCCACAACAAAAGCCACAAAATTATCCAGGTGGATGTACCATGGGAAACACTCATTCCTCAAACCAGAGAAAATCCTTGCAACAAGGATGAAAGGATGAAGAAATTAATTTTGCTGACCAACTTTCAAACAATTTACCCCTCTACCTTTCTTTTGAATTTTCTCACCAAGTCAAAATTTCACAGCTTTGACCTTCCCTTAATGAACAACCACATCAATTATTCAAGGCGTTTTTATATTTAGAAAACACTTTTTAACCCAAAGTCTCTTTTTCCTTCCCACCAGCCACCTCACTCAACTCCCAATTAAGGTGACTGCACACGGAGTAAGTGATTTTGTCCTTGTTTATCTAAATACATCAGGCAGTAATGAAACTGCTCTGCCACAGTGACAGGGAGTGGGAAACAGCCACCAGCACCACAAAACCACCCTCTCAGATGAAGGATTTTCCAGTGCAGTGTACAGAGAGGAGATCTGCCCACATTCTCCCATGAAATGCTGGATCCTTAGCTGACTTTAATTAGTCAGCTCCATTTCCATCACTCCAGGACTTGTTGTGGGATTTTCTCTGATTTGGTATAAGCCTTGCCACTCTGCTGCTATTCTGGACTGATAAGTACCTCTTCCCCAACCCAGTTTAAGAGCTGTGGTGATGCCCAGCACTCATTGCTTTGTATCTGGGATTGCACTAAGCTGCAGCTCAGATGTTGGGAGCTCCTAGTTTCTTTTAACTGCCCTTGCTGGCTCGCCCTCTGTTTGAGGAAGGCAGAGGGGAGCAGGACAGTAGGCTGGAGAGAAGTTCAAAAATTGCTCTGGCAACTGTGTTCCCCTTCATTTTTTTATCAACTCTACAGTACTATCAGGCATTTCTGCAGCTTTGTAGTATAAAAAAAAACCCACAAAGCTTTCAAGTGGAACCAAGTCTCTCTTTCAAATGAGGACAATGGCAGACATAATTAGAAGCTAGGGACTGAAATTTCAGGATACTGATTTTTTGGGGAATTTTGGGGGATAGAGATAGATAACCCAAATCAGAGACCAATTACATATCCAACAGCTGTTAACCTGTTGCTGACTCTCACTGAAAGCATGATGAGAGCCAGTGCCTCACCTCGCAGCTGCTGGAAGCAGGAGGTGCTGCTCTCCCCATCCAGCGGGTGCCGCAGGACCCCGTTGCTGGGCTTGGGTCTCTCGTAGTCCCTGTCGGGAAGCATGGCCTGCTCGCTCTCCCCGGGGTGCTCCGGCCGCGGGGGCAGGGACTGCGGGAACCCGAACATCGGCAGGGACGAGAAGAAGAGTAAGGCACCACACAGCAGGAAACCTCCCCACCACGCACCGATCCAGCGAGGGTCATCCGGGGTTATGTCCAGCTTACCTGTGAGGGCACACACACACACATGTCAGGGGGTTGGACACAGGGAAGGAAAGACAACAGTATGAATAATCCTGTAGGCTAGAAGATGGTTGTTGGGGACTTTGTTGGGATACAAGACACGAGGTGGGGACCCACAGTGACCTCCACACCCATACCATGTGAGCCACCAGCGCATAATGAGCTACATCCAAGAGGTCCTTAGGACAAGCAGCCATCACCTTCCCTATGTAGATGGTACATACAGCTTTCCCAACACCCAACAATCAGAGCTTCTCGCCTGAGTCTTCGGCTCTTGCCAGCTCTAGGAAGCTGCCACGTACCGGTTGGTGTCCCCTGTGTGGGCACTGAGGTTTTGGACATCTCTGTCCCAGAGTGTCACATGTGCACACACTGCTGACACACCTACCGGCACAGACCTGCAGAGAGGCAGCAGCACAGACAAGGACATTGCATTTCCATCCCAGCTTACCCTTTTTCCCCATAAGGTCAGTGCCCTCCCTGCTTTAAATGCACAGCCCTTTTCAGCAAGAGAGAGATGGGCATTTGGGTTTTAGGGGGACCTGTGGTTGTGTGAAGGGTGAAACTGTCCTAAGTATTGGAAAAGAAACCAAGAAGCCCACTCACTGCATCAAATGGGCTCAGCAAGTTGGAGAAACCATCAGAAAAAGAAGAAAAACAAAGTAAAAGGCAAGAGTACCCTGTAGGCCATCACTCAGCAGAGATAAGGAAAAAGAAGGGTCTGGAGCCAGTTTGGGGGAATAAAAATAAACAGCAGGAGAGGAAAAACTGTGTTCCTAACCGCTGCCTTGCTGCCACAGCCATGAGGGTGCCCAGTGTCAGAGCTGACTCTTGGGAGAGACCCAGGTCCACGTGGCTGGAATAACAAGCTCCTCTGTTCATGATGTCTGTCTGGTTACTGCCACTCTGAAAAATCTGTCTCAAGTGAGGCAATCAAGTTGTCTCTCAAGCAGAGACAGAAGGAAACTCTTTTCTCCTTAGGGAAAATAACCCATAGCTCTCAAATATAGATAAAGTTTGAAAAATAGAGTTGGGGAGGGATTGGATTCTTCTGCTGTTATTTCCTCCTGCCTGAAGTGCATTTTTTCAGGTTCTTGGAAATACAGCAATGTGAAGAGCCAGGTAAATCAAGGTCTTCTTCATAACCCATTCCTAAAATCTGTCCTGTGTGTGGGGCAGGGCAGGAGTATGCCCTGGCATCCCACATCTGCCTGAAGCAGGGAGCAGGACAGGGATCAACACTCTGGAGCTCAGTCTCCTTGTGCCACCTCAAGCTGCAAGGCAGAGCCAGCTGCAGTGTGGTAGCTCTTTCCCATACAAAAATAGACAGAGGCCACATATGCTCCAACCTCTGCATCACAGTGATGGACCACGGCCAAAGCCAGCTGGACCTGCAGCTGGAAAGCACTTACACCCTCCCTACAAGTAGCTGAGCCATAGCCCCTCGGGGTTCTCGGTGATAAACACTCCACTGTTCTCATCTGTGGCTCCATATTTGTCTGGGGTTTTTCAGTTGTAAATACAGAGCAATGTCTTATGTTAAAAATGGCCAGATGACACCAAATTGACTTTTTAGCTAGGCCAGTGTCTTGTTTCTGATGGTAACCAGCTGCAGCCGCCCAGAAAGTCCACAGGAATAAAGTCAGCATATACCTGATATTATTCTTGTGACCTGTGGCTCGAGGGCTATCTAAGCTAGATTTTATGTCATGTTCATTATTTTCTTCTATAAACTTTTCCCATTGTTTTCAAATCCATTTGTAAATTTTTAACACCCTAGTGTGAGGGGTTTCACAGCTTCACCTAGTGGGAGATGAAATATCTTCTGCATATTCCTATTTTAGTGTAAGTTATGCTTAATGGTCAAATACATAACAGGGTTCAAATAAGATTCTCTGCCTACAGAACCAAATGAGGTTTTGGCAAATACTTGCTAAAGCCAAGGCTTGAAAAGGGGCTATGTGGTGTTTGAACAAACTGCAGCCAAAAGTCTCAGTCATCAAAGAAGATACTTCTTTCTCATTTGATTTTGTCTAGATTTCTTCAGCTGTCATGTGCCTGTGAGACCAAGAAAAAGTAGTAATGTTTTTCCAGATTTGCACAGTTCTGTTTCAAGTCCTGCAAGGTTCTACTCTGTCCAAACTCATCCTGCAATGATGTATTTGCAACATCATAGAGCTGAAATGCACCCTCAAAGGGGACAACACCTCTGCATAAGAGCCTGTGGTATCCGATGGAGTTGAGAACTGTGGAAAAGGCATCTGAAAACCGAGGGAAAATAGTGAAGCATCAGGTTTGCAGTGTGCAGCCAGAGGGCTGCGGGAGCAGCAGTGAACAGCCTGTTACATATTGCCCTCTCATGGCAAAAAAACCATACTGCAGGTACCAATAAAAGCAGAATTGGCAGATTTTTGTCTTAATGAACAAAAAGACAATTTGCAAATAATCTGCTTTAACCTAAGTGAAGGTGAGTAATAATTAGAAATGCTTTGGGACTAAAGCTGCCCATCCAAGCAGGGTCATTTGCAGATAATGCTGAGCATGGGTCTTACTGGTGTGCCTCCATCAGAGCATGGACAATCCCCCAAGGTCCCAGGGGTGGCAGCTCTCCAGTTTTCATCCTGTGCTCTGGGCATAGCTCCCTTGGCAAGGCTATGTGCATAGATAGCCATGTGCCCTGCCACAGTTACATTTCAAGGTGTCCTCTATGAGCTGGGCTGAAACTCATCTCACAGTCTATGGAAATGAACAAATTTTAACTAACACTGCTATTTATTGGAACAGAGCTGAAATCTTTTGAATCCCAATCATAAAACTACTCTAAAAGTGACACCCATATATGCAAGAGGCACTCAAGATGGAGTGTACTTGCACCTTTCTGCTTGTGAGCATCAACATTTTTATCCTGCTGATACAAACTTTAGCATATTTGATTTGAAACCAAACCCAGTTCTCCTTACTTGTGTCAATGAAGACAGCATCCACATAGATTTTGGTACAGAAGGAGCCCAAGATAAATCCACAGGCTGGTCCAAATACCAGCATCGTAAACAGGATCCCTGCAAGGAGAGAGAAAAGAGAAAATTAGTGCTAGGCTCAGGTTATTCACTGCAAGTTGTTCTGCTTGTCTCCTGCAAGGTGCTAGTGCCCTACTGATGACAAATAGATAAGGTTATGTCTCTGTGTTGAATGCTTCAGGCAAAAGAGCACCCTAAATGTGTTTTGCTTTTCCATATCTCTTCAGGAAAAAGAACAGATGGAGCTGTGATAATACTGAAGGATTTCTACTGAGCTGAGAAGACAGTGTGCATGTATGCTGTGTCTTGGTCAGCTGGCTGCTCTGAAAGATGCCTTACTCAAAAGCTCAAGGTAAAGCAGACCTGCCTTCTCCCCATGGGGAAGTCTTTGCCTTTGCCACCTCTAGCTAAATTCCTAGTAGAAAGAATTTTCAGACTTCAAGCCAGCAAATCTATGAAATGAGCATTGTCACAGACTGCTGGATAAAGCCTATTTACAGAAATAGGAGTCCTTTTCCAAATCCATGAAGCCTTTCTCCCCATCATACCCACACAGCAAATACTCCCCAAGGCGCACAGCTCTTCCACCCTCTTACAACTGCTTGCTCCTCCTGCAAAACCTGCATGAAATTGTCAGTGTAATGCCAGGAGAAGAGCTATTATGAGTAAATTACTTATTTGTTTCAATACAGTATTTAGAAGCATTTATTCTCACTCCCATTTTGGCCCTGAAACAGGAACGCTACAGGCACACTGCCAGCTCTCAATTATCCAGGGCAGAAAGGTGGGGACACATAAGGATTATCCAGAAAAAGAAGGAGAAAAGATAACGCAAAACATTTGTAAATTAGACAATAAGAACAAATTTGGTACCTTCACATTTGGGATAACAACAACATTTGAGAAGAACAACAAAAAGTCCCCAGGGACTCTTGTAAATGGCTTTCTGAAGGAAGCAGGGACAAGTCTGAGCAGCATGGAGCAGAGCAAGGGCCTGTTTGTTCCCTCTGGGGCAAGGCATTGCTGATGGACCTGTGTGCCCAGCGAGGGAGGCAGCTCCTTGGGACCCTTGGCAGTGATGTGCCAGCCTGTGGTGGCATCAGTTCTGGTGTCACTGCACTTCAGAAATGGCCCACGAAGGAGCTTTATTTGCATCTGGGGGCTTTGCTCACTCTCCTTCGGGGTACATCCCACATCTCTCTCCAAATCTCTCCAGAGATGCTGCCTGGCATCTCAGTGCATTCATAATGCAATTCATTGCAGCTATCTCAGCCCTCAAGTTCCTAATCTGGAAACTTTTAATTCCCAAGTTCTCTCTCTGTGCACTTTTCAGAAGCTGGAGAAATTATCAGAGCTGCAAAACATTCCCAGGAGACCACCAGCCCTACGCAAAGCAAGTCGCACCTGCCGATGATGGCTCAGCCAAGCAGAATAAGCTGCTATGGTCAAAAGCAACTTTACCTTCACCTTTAAAATGCAGGGTGCAAACTAATTCCTCCAGGTTGGTGGCACTTGGACTGGCTGGATTAATAACTAGGTACAAAGCAGAGGTGCCTCTGCCAGTTGCTCATGCAGAAACCCAGTGTGTTAATGCCTTCATGGCTAACACCTACAGCTGCAAGAGGGAGAAGCAAAGGTGGTTGGAGGAAAAAATGTGTCAGGTTGTATGAGCTGCAGTAAGGAGTCACTGCTGTCAGGGCAGCAGCAGGAGCTGCCACCCCCTGCCCTGCCTAGCCCAGCTCAAAGCTGCAGCAATGGCACCGTGTGGCAGCCCATGCTGCCAGCTTAAATTAGTCCCCAGGGACTCTGCCCATGATGTCCACGTCACTAGTGGAGCAGCCATCTCCCCTCCCTCCTGCAGTCAGCTTGTCCACAGGCTTTGGGTTTGTGCTCCACGATCCAGCAGTAAATTGGGGAATTTGTGCTCCTCAAACAAAAGAGCTGCTTAGGAAGCCTGTGCCTTGCTCCTCTGGGATCTATGAAGCCTCACGTGGTAGATCCCAGTCCCTGGTTACCTGCAAAAGCACTTCATGGCATGTGAAATGAAGGAAGAGACAGGTGGGGAGAGCAGAGAAAAGGGATTTCTTTTCCAGAACACCCAGCAACTCTATCCCAGCCCCACTTGGGGCTATACAGTTTCCAGTGGCATTTTATAAAACATCCATGTCACATATTTTTTGGTCACTAGATGGCATTGGTGCACGTCATTCAGCCCACAAGTGCCATGGGGAGCAGGCTGGGTGACGGTGCAGCCCACCCCAGTCCCCTAACACCACGGTGTTCCTGGGGGACCCTCAGCCCCTGACAGGATGGCACTGACACAGGCACTGCCTTCACCCACTTATCTGTATGTGCCCCTTCCCTGTCTGCATGCAGGATATCACGGGTTTTAGAACAAACTGTTCTGAAACTCTTTTTAGTCAGAGAGTTTAAAGAGACAGCATCTAGCAGAGATAGCCATGGCTACTACTGTAATGAACAAGCTGTCAATCAAAGACCAGCTTAATCTTTGATGATTGAACATTAATTATGAATTTCAATGTAACTATGGTCAAGTACATAAGGACACACTTCCTTACCCTAGAAGGTATGAGGGAAAGGAAAGCCCAAGCAGACCTGAGCACCTCCTGTTTCCTAGTCCAAGGTCCTCAGCCCACACCCTGGTACCCAGCACCCACAGCTGCCTGAGAGTCATCCCCTGGGATGACCCCCAGAGGGAAGGCTGCAGGCACCAAAACACCCTGGGCTGCAACAGATTTCCACAGGCACCAAGGAGCCAAGGGGGGTGCTGAGCTACTGTGCCACTGCCCTGATGAGACCTGTGTGTGAGCAAAAGGTCTGCATGGCCACCAGACAGCTGATTCAGGGCACCCACAACTCAGGAGCAGGAACCTCTGGGCACTGCAGGGCAGGTTTAGGTGAGACCTTGAGGACAGGATGGATCAGGCATGATCTGTACTCCTCAGGCAGCAGATATTTGTTTTCTCTTTTTTCCCCCTTTTGTTTTTGCAAGCTTAGTGGTTGATGACTTTCTGTGTCTAACAGCTCTAGAGAACTGGGAACACATCAAAATTGTCATGTGGCACTAATGCAGGCTCACAGAGCTAAGCAGGCAGAAGGACAAGGGCCAGTTCTAATCCTCTAGGCAATACCTTCAGATGCACCAGTGCTGGGCTAAAGAGGGACAAAAGTTTGCCCCATGGTGACCTCCAAATCACAGCAGGTTTGTCTGACCGTGTGTATACAGGCAGAACCACAGAAATGCAGTGTGTTTCATGGAGCAAAGGTAAGACAAAGAACATAGAGAAAGATCATCCTTCACCAAAAAACTGCAGAGAACTTCCCAAAGATTTGGGAAAAGGGGAAAAAGAAAGCAGGGACCTGTGGCTGATGATCCAGCAGCAGTAGGGAGATGCTTGCAGAGACAGCTCAGACAAAAAAGCAAATGTCAAGAAAGCTGTGGCCAGTGTAGGATGGACATCAGAGACAGACAAATGCTGCACCTCCTCACACTATTGCATTGCAGTACCATCGCGGAAGAAACAAACTGTGTCCTCAGTTATTGAAATACCGCATTTCATATCCTGGTGGCTGCGGGAAGGCATGATTTGCTCTGCAATGTCCTCACTAGAGGGCAATGTGGGATAGAGCATCCACCAAACACCTATCTAACATCTTACAAAAGCATTATTATTCACCTCTAGGCTAGTTTAGCAAAAGCCTCCAGTTAATTGTGTTTTTTCTTTTTCTACATTTTGTCCTAAAATCAAGAAAACAACTGGCTCACCCTATACCCTTTTGTTATCATTTTTTGAGACTCCAACAAAATCCTACTGTTGCAAGAATAGTATTTTATGCTTTAATTCACAAATCAAGCAGGTTTTGGAAAAACCTGAGGCATGGACTGTCACAATGGGCTGTACTGAGCCAGACCATGCTCAAGGATCAACAGAGCATGGGCACAAGAAGTAGGCTATTAGGCCATTGGGATAGTGCCTGTGGTTGAACATTTCTGCAGACGTGAGGTCTCAAGAGGAAATTAGGCAAGTTTGAATTAGCTTAAGACATCCTTCCTCTTTAGAGAAATTCTGCACAACTGCTAACCACCCCCGTTATTAGTGAAAAACTTTCCAAATCACCCACCTAGTCATGCAACTATGAAGCTGCTCTTCAGGAGAGAAGGAGATCTTGCAAATAAACCCTTCTCCCGGTTCTGGGGTTGCTGCTAAGGATAAAGATGTGCTAAATTTGTGTCTAGCTTTAATACCACTTGCATGATATTTTCCTATGTTTCCCCCTAAGTTTTAGATCAGCCTGATTTGATAGAGCCAGAGGACATTAATACCAGGAGCAAACAGATCTTGGCCTGGTCTAATCCTGGCTCCTCCACTCTTGAGAAACTCCCACTGATGTCAACAAAGCCAGCAATCAGTATAGGTACTGCAATTTTATGGTATTTTTATTTTTAATCTTAGAGTAACTTTTAAAATTCTTAACAAATTATGGCAATTCCTAGAAATAGCCACAGATGTGAGTTAAAACCCAAACTGACCCTGCTTTGGGACAATTCAAATGTTTTGTTTGGTAACTCAGAAATACTTCCTTTCATTTGGCTCCTTTTAAAATACAATTACATTTTAGTTTGAAAAGAGCTAATAATTTTCAGATTTCCAACTCTATCTCCTCCATTGGTCTCCTGCCACCCAGAAAGGCAGGGGGAAAAAAGCAGCAAGTCGGGCTGCTCTGAGAAATCAGAAGTATTTTCCTCCCTGTCTTTTCAAATGGAACAATTTGCCAAATCCTACCTTGTCCTGTCAACTAACATTTTCCAGGGGCTGAGGAAAGGATTGGGACAGAGGGAAGTATTAGATCTGACATTTTGTGATGAGATTTTACCACTTGTAAGGCCCAAGACTGACAATGCAGTTTTCCATTAGAGCAAAGGGAAGGAGCAGCAGCAGGTACTACTACATCTGTGGAGAGATGGTGGCAGAGAGATGCTCAGTGAGTCATGCAAAGTGCACAAGAACCAAATTACAAAG